CATGGGAGGTCTGATGGGTACATAGTATGAAGGACATGGGGGGAGGTCAGATGGGTACATTGTATGGAGGACATGGGGGCAGGTCTGCTGGGTACATAGTATGAAGGACATGGGGTGAGGTCTGATGGGTACATTGTATGAAGGACATGGGGTGAGGTCTGATGGGTACATAGTATGAAGCACATGGGGTGAGGTCTGATGGGTACATAGTATGAAGCACACGGGGTGAGGTCTGATGGGTACATTGTATGAAGGACATGGGGTGATAGGTCCTTGTATGTAGGGGGCTGTAGTCGCCCAGGTCCTTGTATGTAGGGGGCTGTAGTCGCCCAGGTCCTTGTATGTAGGGGGGCTGTGGTTCCTAGGTCCTTGTATGTAGGGGGCTGTAGTCGCCCTGGTTCCTAGGTCCTTGTATGTAGGGGGGCTGTAGTCGCCTAGGTCCCTGTATGTAGGGGGGCTGTAGTCGCCTAGGTACTTGTATGTAGGGTGGCTGTAGTCGCCCAGGTCCCTGTATGTAGGGGTGCTGTAGTCTCCTAGGTCCTTGTATGTAGGGGGGCTGTAGTCACCTTGGTCCTTGTCCTGCAGCCTGTCGGGTTGTGACCTGACCTCCTCCTCCCTCGAAGAGTTGACCTCCGTGATCAATAAGAACCGATCTCTGACCAGACTGGATCTGTCGGGAAATAAGTATGAGGACGTGGGAGTGAAGAGACTATGCGAGGCCCTCCGAGATCCGGGCTGTACACTGGAGGAGTTCAGGTGATGTCCCCATTATAATGTATGGTAGCCTGCAGGACTCTGGAATAAACCTCCATGGTCATATGGGTCTTCTCTCCGGTATAGAGTGGGGTATTGTGAGATGACGGCTTCCTGCGCTGAGGAGTTCCTGGCCGTCATTAATACAAACAAGTCTCTGAAGGAGCTGAACGTATCGTTTGCCTACGAGGAGGAAGAACCCCCTGCAGATCTGGACTTGATGTGCCGCAGATTCGAGCACCCGGCCTGCACTTTGGAGAAAAATGAGTAAGTGACCTTCTCCTTTACATGGAAGAACTCCGCCCACACCGGAGGTCCTCCCATTCAGGGTGCTCCGCCCTCCACTAATCCTTTTGTCTTTCCTTGTAGTACCCAGGATGGAATGTTCATCTACTTCAAATACAGGAAACCAGAGTGATGACTGCGACGTCCCTGAGGGTCCAGACCCCTCCCATTGAAGGTAATTGGCTGATCTCCGGATCTGATTGGTGGAATTGAAGAGAAAACATACAACGCTGCCGTCCCAGTCACTTCCTGTATAAGTGGAGTATAAACTACAGGCCACTGGGTGGTGGAGCCAAAGACCTTCTAGAATAAGCGGTCGATGGCAGAGCCGAGAGTACTCCAGGTTAAGCATTGGGTGTTGGGGCCCTTCAAGGATTAGTAGTGGGTGGCAGAGGCAAGGACCCCCCCAGGATCAGCAGCATAAGTGGGGCCCTCCAGGTTGAGCGGTGGGTGGTGTGGCCCTTCCAGGATGAGTGTTGGAGGTCTGTGGGATCCTGTAGAATTATTGATGGAACTTTCTTTTTATCTTCTAGGTCATCTTCCTTTGGGCTCTTATATGCTACAATGCTGAACTCCGAAGGACAACCCTCAGATTATGGGTGGAGGCAATCTCTCTGCTGGAATCGCTCCACTGGTAATTGTGTCTTCGATGGACGGGATGGAACCTCGCACTCGTAAACTCCAAACCCTGGCCTCTGACCCCCCTCACCTAAAGCGCCCCCCACATCCTTTCGTCAGCAATAACCTAACGCCGGGTACTTTCGGATGGAGTGGGGAAGTCGTATTGCTGTCTGCGTCCTGGTGACCATTGTTGGTGGGACAGGAAGTGACGGGAAATCCAAAAATTGTACAGAAAAAGAGGGGAAATCTTCCACTAGGGACACGGCTCACTTCCTGTTGTGTCTCCAGCAGTGGAAGTGATGGGAAATCTCTCCAGAGAGTGCAATGGTCTCCCTGTCCCTGCTCCATCCAAACTGATAAATATGTCACTCTTGTACTTGGAGAGCTTTGTAGAATGTAATCGGCCGAGTGCCTTACCCTGATGTCACATCGGGGCCCTGGAGCCCGGACCCGTTCCTCTACTTGCACTAATACAACAATGTAGATCAGAGTTTATAGTGATTGGATCTTTGCACCTTATTTGTACCAGAAATGTTTTCATCAAAGTTCTCTAATAAAGTTTTTAGCATGATGGCGGAATTGTGTGGTGTCACTTATGTCACATGGCCGGGAGGGTGGCGGTGTCATGTGAGCAGATTGGCGGTGTTGTCACGTGAGCAGGAGGGAGGGGGTGTCATGTGATCTCTCATAAAGGAATAGGACCGATCACTCTACAGTACAGTCTGATACCTCCAGTGCAGCTAGAGGGCTCTGAGGACACATCTCCGCCACCACTAGAGGTCTCCACAGCACCGCCAGATGCATATCCAGTGTCCTTGGTACAGGCGCCATTGTTGCAGAGACCAACCCGCATCCCCCTCTGTGTCCTGACCCCTGAATGTGAGAAATACATGTATGACCTGCCATCCCGAGACAGCAACACAGACCGTATATACTTTGATTACAGGGGGGAGGGGTCTGGTCTCGGAAGCTGGCGGACATGGGAGAGGTTGTGGGGTACAGGGGGGAGGGGTCTGGTCTCCAGGAAGATGGTGGATATGGGAGAGCTCAGGGCGGGGTTTGGTCTACAGGAAGATGCCAGTGGTGAGGGAGTGGGAATGGGCAGGGTCTGGTCTCAAGGTAGATGGCGAACATGGGAGGGGACATGGTTTGGGAAGATGGCGGACATGGAGGGGACAGGGTGGGGTCTAGTCTCTGGGAAGATGGTGGACATTTGAGAGGTCAGGAAGGGGACAGGGACAGGTCTGGTCTCAGGGGAGATGGTGGACAGGGCGGGGTCTGGTCTCTGTGGAAAATGGGAGACATCAGGGAGGGTATGGGCAGGGTTTGCTCTCTGGGAGGATGGCGGACATGGAAGAGGTCATGGAGGGGACAGGGTGCGGTCTGGTTTACGGGAATATATAGCGGATATGGCAGAGGCCAGGGAGGGAGACAGGGTGGGGTCTGGTCTCCAGGAAGATGGCAGACATGGGTGGGGACAGGGCAGGGTCTGGTCTCTGGGAAGATGGTGGACATGCGAGAGATTAGGGAAAGGGTGGGGTATGGTCTCCGGGAAGAAGGCAGACATGGGAGAGGTCCGGTATAAGACTGGGCCGGGCCTGGTCCTTTAGAAGATGGCGGACAAGGGACAGGGTGGGGTTGGTCTTGTCTTGGGGAAGATAGTAGACACAGGGCGGGGTGTGGTCTCCGGGAAGATGGCGGGACAGGGCAGGGTCTGGTCCCCAAGAGAGGTCGGGGATAGGGGTCTGGTCTCCGGGAAGATGACGAACATGGGGGAGGTCAGGGATGGGACAGGGCGGGGTCTGGTCCGTGAGAAGATGGCAGACAAGGAAGGGGACAGGGTGGGGTCTTGTCTCTGGGAAGATGGCGGACAAGGGGAAGATGGCGGACAAGGGAAAGGTTAGGGAATGGGCAGGGCCTGGTCTAGTCTAAGGGAAGATGGCACACATGGGAGAGGTCAGGGATGGGACAGGGCAGGGTCTGGTCCTTGAGAAGATGGCAGACAAGGGAAGGGACAGGGTGGGGGTCTTGTCTCTGGGAAGATGGTGGACATGGGAGAGGTCAGGGTGGGGACAGGGTGGGTCTGGTCTCCGGGAAGATGCCGGTCAGGGAGGAGACAGGGTGGGGGTCTTGTCTCTGGGAAGATGGCACACATGGGAGGGGTCAGGGATGGGACAGGGATAGGGGTCTGGTCTCTGAGAAGATGGCGGACAAGGGAGAGGTCAGGGAGGGGACAGGGATAGGGGTCTGGTCTCTGGGAAGATGGCGGACAAGGGAGAGGTCAGGGAGGGGTCTGGTCCCCGGGAAGATGGGATAGGTCAGGGATGGGACAGGGTGGGGTCTGGTCTCTGGGAATATGGTGGACATGGGAGAGGTCAGGTGGGCTTGGTCTCCGGCAAGATGGTGGACATGGGAGAGGTCAGGGTGGGGACAGGGCATGGTCTGGTCTACGGGAAGATGGCGGACATGGCAGAGGTCAGGGTGGGGACAGGGCATGGTCTGGTCTCCGGGAAGATGGCAGACATGGGAGAGGTCAGGGAGGGGACAGGGGGCATGGTCTCCGGCAAGATGGCGGACATGGGAGAGGTCAGGGTGGGGACAGGGCGGGGTCTCATCTCTGGGAAGATGGCAGACAAGGGAGAGGACAGGGTGGGGTATGGTCTCCGGGAAGAAGGCAGACATGGGAGAGGTCAGGGAGGGGTCTGGTCCCTGGAAAGATGGGAGAGGTAAGGAAGGGGACAGGGTGGAGTCTGGTCACTGGGGAAATGGCGGACAAGGGAGAGGACAGGGTGGGGTATGGTCTCCGGGAAGAAGGCAGACATGGGAGAGGTCAGGGAGGGGACAGGGTGGGGTCTGGTCTCCGGGCAGATGGCGGACATGGGGGGGTAGGGGACAGGGTGGGTCTGGTCCCCGGGAAGATAGGGGAGGGGACAGGGCAGGGTTTTGTCTCTGGGAAGATGGCGGACAAGGGAGAGGACAGGGTGGGGTATGGTCTCCGGGATGAAGGCAGACATGGAAGTGGTCTGGTCCCTGGAAAGATGGGAGGGGACAGGGTTGAGTCTGGTCCCTGGAAAGATGGGAGAGGTAAGGGAGGGGACAGGGCGGGTCTGGTCTCCGGGAAGAGGGCGGTGAGGGGACAGTCGGGCATTGTCTCCGGCAAGATGGCGGACATGGCAGAGGTCAGGGTGGGGACAGGGCATGGTCTGGTCTCCGGGAAGATGGCACACATGGGAGTGGTCAGGGATGGGACAGGTGGGGTCTGGTCTCTGAGAAGATGGCACACATGGGAGTGGTCAGGGATGGGACAGGGTGGGGTCTGGTATAAGTAAAGATAGCAGAGATGGGAGGAGTCAGGGGAGGAGACAGGGTGGGGTCTGGTATAAGTAAAGATAGCAGAGATGGGAGGAGTCGGGGGTGGAGACAGGGTGGGGTCTGGTCTCCGGGAAGATGGCGGACAAGGGAGAGGTCAGGGAGGGGACAGTCGGGCATTGTCTCCGGCAAGATGGCGGACATGGCAGAGGTCAGGGTGGGGACAGGGCATGGTCTGGTCTCCGGGAAGATGGCACACATGGGAGTGGTCAGGGATGGGACAGGGTGGGGTCTGGTATAAGTAAAGATAGCAGAGATGGGAGGAGACAGGGTGGGGTCTGGTATAAGTAAAGATAGCAGAGATGGGAGGAGTCAGGGTGGGGTCTGGTTGGAGTAAAGATAGTAGAGATGGGAGGAGTCAGGGTGGGGTCTGGTTGGAGTAAAGATAGTAGAGATGGGAGGAGTCAGGGTGGGGTCTGGTTGGAGTAAAGATAGTAGAGATGGGAGGAGTCGGGGTGGAGACAGGGTGGGGTCTGGTATAAGTAAAGATAGTAGAGATGGGAGGAGTCAGGGAGGAGATAGGGTGGGGTCTGGTATAAGTAAAGATAGTAGAGATGGGAGGAGTCAGGGTGGGGTCTGGTTGTAGTAAAGATAGCAGAGATGGGAGGAGTCAGGGAGGAGATAGGGTGGGGTCTGGTATAAGTAAAGATAACAGAGATGGGAGGAGTCAGGGTGGGGTCTGGTTGTAGTAAATATAGTAGAGATGGGAGGAGTCAGGGAGGGACACGGAGGGGTGTGGTTTCCAGGCAGAAAGTGGATATAAGAAGAGTCGGTATGGGGTGTGGTGAGAACATTTCTGACACAGGTGAGAGCAGTGTGCGCTGTCTGCTTTTATTATTATACAGGATTTATATAGCGCCAACAGTGTGCGCAGCGCTGTACAATATAAGGAAGACATCACAATCACAATACAGTACAAGATGGTAAGGAGGGCCCTGCCCCTTAGAGCTTACAATCTAAAAGGGGAGGAGCCAGTGATACATGAGGAGGCAGCTGTGTGGGGATGAATGGTTGAGTGGTCAGGTTGAGGTGGGATCGGCTTCCCTGAAGAGAGGATTCTTTAGGGAACACCTAAAGGCATACATGAGGAGGCAGCTGTGTGGGGATGAATGGTTGAGTGGTCAGGTTGAGGTGGGATCGGCTTCCCTGAAGAGAGGATTCTTTAGGGAACACCTAAAGGC